ATGCTTTCCCTACAACATAGAAGTTCTATCCTCCTCCTACCATCCAGCCGTCCAATTTTGATCAAGAGAGCCACTCGCCATTCGAACTTAGATCTGACCTCTCAAAGTATTTTATTTTTAGTTTTTCTTATACAAATTGTATGAATATGAAATTTGGTGCGTGCCATCTTCTCATTGGGGCACACCTATAAAAATATTAAAAATAATTCTTTGATAAAATATAATGATCAAAATATCCCTTGAAACTTTCAAATGGTGTTTTGATCATTTTATTTTGTTGAAAATATTTTTTTTATATTTTTTGCTAGCGCAAGTTTAATAGCGGAGTGGACGTCCAAAATTTGGTGTCAAAATAGTTTATATAAAAAAAATTAAAAATAAAATAGTATAGAGATGTGACATTGCGGAAGCTTAAGTAATCCTGAAGGTGGGGTAGCTGTCTAAGTGGTGCCAAAGAACTTCAAAATCTCAATAAAAGGAATTCAAATAACATGTATTCAACAAGTGACATACTCAACTCATGTATGTCAGAGACATAGCCGACGCTGCACACAACCCAACTGCCCTGGCACTTTCTCCTCTTCACAACCGGCGCTTTTTAACCCTCCTTTCAAAATGGACCGTGGGATACAGGGAGGATAGAACTTCTATGATGCGGAGAAGCATAGATAGCTTGCCGAATATAATTTGACTTATATGTGGCCGCTAAACATACGCGTCTTTTTACTGGCGTAAAAAACTTGACTATGAATAAATTTTTTAACATCATTAATGTTAGAGGTAGGAAACCTAAATACATTGACTTGGGGTTGGTGTTAACCAACTACCCATGTTAGCTACCTCGGATTGAGACTAGGCTTGGGGCAGGCCAGCCATGGCCGTACCCCCGTACAAGTCCCTACAGGGCTGCCCAAGCTTAACCCTTGTCTTGTTCAAGTCGATTCGGGCTTAAAACAAGTAAAAAAAAAAAAAGGGGAAAAGAGAGTAGACTCAATATTGTTAGATTTGCTTCGGAGTCTTTTTTTAGTTTGGTGAGAAAAATGAAGCAATTTGATACTCCAACGGATTTGAGGGAAGGCTTCGGTTTTTTTTAATTTAATATAAATAAATTAAACATTTATATATAAAAAGGTGATGTTTGTATAAAACCAAGGCTCTAAATAATCAAAGTAGAGCGCACCTTCAAATAATGTCGAAAAATGTGCTTTCAATACAAGAAATCTTTACGATAGCCACAAAATATATTTTAACCTTTAATTATAAAATTTCTTCAAAAATAATATAACTCAAGCAAATCTATAAAAATTTGAAAATCTTGAAAATTGACGATCCAAAATTACATTACAATATGCACTATTTTCAAAACTTGAAATCCATTTTTTCTTCTCATGTCCATGCATATTGACGTCCAGATGATCAATTTGAGGATATTTGGGCATCAAAACAATATCTTCTAGTGAAATTTTCAAAGTGGGCTCTGATGTGATCGTTTAGAGCATCGGCTCTATATAAATTTTTTCTTATATAAAAATACAAAAAATAATGTAAAATTCAAAAAAATTTCAAAAAATAAATAAATTATATAGATATGCCTTTGTTTTGACCAAAAAGACCGAAGCAAAGGCCGAATCCACCCAAAGCAGACCCGAATTTGACCAAAGCGGCCTAAATTTGACCAAAATAGTAACACCAATATTCGCTCCGCTTCTGTTTAGGCCTAAAGTCTAAAAGCTTCAACCTCTTTGGCCGAAGTGAAGCGAATTCAATAACACTGAGTAGACCCTTAGCTCGGCCCTGTGGGCCTAGCACTCAATTGCAGGGCCTGGCCTTTGGACCACATTTTGTGCCTACGCCCTAAATTTTCAGAATAGCAAGCCCTATTAGAGGGGAGATCAACAGTATACGATGACATCGACTTTACAATCAAATTGATTTTTTGGATAAAGGTCGGATGATGATAATTTGGATAGAAGTTGGCTTTGGGGTACAATTAAAGCCTAAGTATAAGATTATACGGTTAATCTTCCTATGCAAATTTTAAGGCTCAAATTTCCACAATATAGCTCAGTTGCAGTGACAATTTGCAAAGGTTTTTCAAGGATTGAGTTATGTGGTCTAAGTATCTGAGCCTTGAGAAGCAGTCAACTCAGAAACTCAGAAGAGGGAGGATGTTTCACTCACGGATTGAGGACCCAAAATTTCACATGTTTATCATTCCAATCACCGTGATTTTGAATCTCAGAAAAAAAGAATGGATTAAGAACCTTGGGTATGATTAATCATGTGCCTTTCTTTTTCTTTTTTTTCCTTTTTTTTGATATAAAAGAATTTCTTATTTTGCTTAATAACAAATCTCTCTTTCCCACATAACATAAACAATTGTCTCATGGCTGACACAGTATTTCGTTTTGCCCAAAATTCTATGAGCCGGTATGGTATGCTATGCTACCTCGGAAGGATAGTTTGCTTCTATTCCCAGGTTCAAAAGAATTACTAGGATTTTTTTCAATCTGAAATTTTAGAAACCACTCATGAATCTGTAGATGATTATTCTCGAAAGAAAAATATTTGAAATTTCAGTATTCTATTTCTAACGTCTAGATCTCACCCTCTAAAAAATAGATGCTTTCCATTCAATCTTGAGAAAAAAAAAAAAAATTTCAAGGGTTTAGAGGGTCCAGTAAGGATTTTTTTTATTAAGGATAATTGATGTATTAAAGAGGTTATATCCCCAAAATTTAGGATCCTAAAATTAATCCTCCGTGGGATTTTACACGAGGGACTAAATGGACAATATACTTCTCAGGGAGTAGAATATCTTTAGGCAAATTCTAATAGCTTTTCTCCATAAAGGCCTTCATTTTTGCTTGTTTATTTTCCTTGTCTATATTTATTTATGTCTAAATGGGTGGTTTAGGTTTCTTTTCAATTGAATGGCCTCTTAAAAACATAGGATCCTAGGCTTTAAGTTTGTTTTATTTTATGAAAACATTGAATGTCGCATCCAAAGAGTGAGAGTCATTTCAATCCCATTTATTCCTTTCAATCCCCTATTTTAATAGCTAACCCTAGAACTTATAGCAGCCTAAGTCAAAGCACTAATAAACCTAGGCAACATTCTCTCAGCCGAAAGAATTGAGGGAATTAAGCCACATTCTCATAGTACAAGAAAATTTATAGACTTAGGCTATTTTCCCCTAGGTGCAAAAAATGTGGTGACTAAAGCCTACTCTATCCTAAAAGCCAAAACACAGAATTAAAAGAAAATGGTTTGATAGGGCTGCAGTCCTATCAAATTAAGTAAATCCTCATCTCATAACTCATCAAAAATTGTAAGTCAAGTATTGGAAACCTTTACATCAATCCTCTTGATTTGAACATTATGGTTATGAAAAAAAATTAGGATTTTTAAGCTCTAAAAAAAATGTATATTATAACAAATAATTTAGATTATCTATTTTTCCTTAAAAATAAAAGCTCACAGATTTGCAATATCTTTATCATTGTTTTAGTTTCAAATTTTATTGTCAACATTGAATATTGATTTTTCAGCCATCATAGAGATTTAAGTCTCTCAATAGTACTTTCTAGACGAGAATTTGAGGTGAGGCTTTATTTTGTTTTCATAGGCCTTATAGAAACCTCATTCTTAAGAGAGTGTGTTTTAGAGAGGGGTGCAGTTTGCATATGGATGCATCCGTAGGTGGTAGAGGTAAGACGCACCTTCAAATTTTATCATAGTATACAATTTTGATGTAAAATGTTTTTAGGATTATCTCAAAATCTATTTTTATATATAATTATAAAATTTTAAATATAAAAAATGATTAAAATCAAGTAGATCCATAAACATACGAAAATCTTGAAAATGGACGGTATAGATAATATGTTGTAAAATACATTATTTTTGAGACATAAAATCTTTTTTTTTTTCATAGTCATGCATCTCGATGATGTCTTTCAACATTAAAACTACTTTTTTCGATGGATTTTTTAGGGGCATCCGTAGTTCTACATTATAAGGTAGCATCCTTTATGTAAACTTTTTCCTTGGGAGAGAAATGTTGTAGCGTGGCACGTGGGTGTGTAGAGAAAACATGTTGTAGCGTGGCATGTGTAGAGAGAAAGCGCATTAGAGGAACCTGGACATCACTGAAATTAATTTTCATAACTAACTTACCTTCCCAAAGGACACTGGGAATCTGCGGGAACACAGTCTGAAACTATAAATATTTTAAAATATTCCTCACAAACAACACATTCCATTAAACTCTAAAAGCCTAGAGAGAGAAAATACCCTAAAACATAGACTTACATGTAGCCCCAGTGCCAAGAGAGAAAGACACCAAGACAAAAACGCTAGAGAGAGAAAGACCAAAGAAAAAAATGAGAGAACCCACAAATACTCAAAGAGAGAGATAGGCTTAACCCAAAATCAAGAGAGTTAGAGAGAGAAATAACATTGGAAAATAGTTAGAGAGAGAAATAACATTGGAAAATAGTTAGAGAGAGAAATAACATTAGAAAATAGTTAGAGAGAAACCATAGTAGCTTGCCAAGTAATCTAAGCCTACTACTGTATGTTGAAGAACTTAGGTCACCCAGAGCCAGAGAGAGAGAGAGAGAAATACCCTAGAGCTAGAGAGAGAAAGACCAAAGACAAAAATGTGAGAGAACCCACAAACAAATACACAAGGGAGAGAGAGGTTAACCCAAGACCATGAGAGAGAGAAATAAGATTAGGAAAGAGTTAAGAGGGAGAAGCTTGCCAAATAATCTTAATGGTTGAACTTAGGTCACCCGCCATAACCAACCCCAGTCTCCCACCACGAAACCTCACCCCCAAAATTACTATTTTGCCCCTTCAACTCCCTCTCTAACCCCACCAAATCTCAACCCCCAAACCGGTAGTTAAGGACCCAATAAACCAAAAAATTACCCTTTAATTAACCCACTAATCCCACCATTTCAGCTCACCAAATTGAAACCACTACATAAAGCTCTCCACGACAAGAAACTCACAAAAACGCTTATAATTCAAAGCCATGCTCCTTTCCTCCCCACACTCGGCACACAAACACCATGGATTCTTATCGCTTAGCCTCGAATTCGACTGGAATTTATGCCGGAAACATCTTCCGGCGACCCCATCTCGACCTTCGCGTCCTGGAAGTCTTCTTGGCCGTCGGTGTCTTCGTGCTTTTCCATCAACTGAGGCCGAGAAACCGGCGCGGCCTGGCTTCCTGGCCGCTTCTTGGTATGCTCCCTTCTCTGTTATTTGGCCTGAAAAACGATATTTATGAATGGATTTCATGTGTCCTTATTAAAGAAGGCGGGACTTTTGTATTTAAAGGACCGTTATTTAGCAACCTGAATTGCGTTATCACTTCGGATCCCCGAAATATCGAGCACATTTTAAAGACGAAATTCGTTACCTTCCCAAAGGGCGAGTACTTTCGGAAGAATCTCAGCGATCTTCTGGGCTCCGGGATCTTCAACTCCGATGACGACGTGTGGCAGAGGCAGCGGAAGGTGGCGAGTATCGAGTTCCACTCGACGAGGTTCCGGCAGCTGATGCACGACTCGCTAGAAAGACTCGTCCACGAGAGGCTGCTGCCGGTTCTCGAACTCTACGGTGAACGCATCAGCGGGATCGATTTGCAGGACGTCCTCCTGAGACTGACGTTCGACAACGTCTGTATGATCGCATTTGGGGTCGACCCCGGCTGCCTCAGCCACAGATTACCGGAAATACCCTTTGCCAACGCCTTTGAGAAGGCAACTGAGGCCTCTGTTATGAGGTTTTTGATGCCCACTTCTCTTTGGAAAATTATGAGATTTTTTAACTTGGGTTCTGAAAAAGAGCTCAGAGAAGCCCTGGTGAGGGTTGACGAATTTGCTGGAGGTGTTATTAGAGAGAGAAAGAGAGAATTATTATCAGATTTTGGAAAAAAATCAGATTTATTGACTGTTTTTATGAGGATGAGAGACGAGGAGGGCAGGGCATTTTCGGAAGAATTTTTGAGGGACATTTGTATAAATTTTATTTTGGCGGGAAGGGACACCTCATCTGTGGCCCTGGCCTGGTTCTTCTGGTTAGTGGGACAAAATCCAGGGGTAGAGGAGAAAATTTTGGAGGAGATGAGGGGCATTTTGGGTCATAGAGTGGTTGAGGGACCACCAAAGTGGAGACCAGAGGAGGTGAAAAAAATGGAGTATCTGCAAGCTGCCTTGTCAGAGGCTCTCCGGCTTTACCCCTCAGTGCCCGTGGATCACAAAGAGGTTTGTTTCTCTCTCTAAACTTTCCCTCTTTACCGAGGTTTCTTTCTTTTCCTTAATTTTTTGTTCTCTTTCTCTATCTAAAGAGGTTTGTTTCTCTTTCTGACCTTTCTCTCACTAAAATGGTTTTGTTTCTCTCTCTAAACCTAAGGAAACCACATTTAACACCAAAAAAAAAAATTGAAATGTTAGCTGTGTCTTCCAACTAGAAACAAATAATTATTGTACACTATTTTTATGAGTCCCCCGACTTTTCCATAATTGTTTTATTTTTTCAACAAATTTGACTATTTGAGACCTTTTAGATTTTGTTTAATTTAAAAGGGACGTTTAACCAAAGATTATCTGAAAGTTTTTCTTTGGTTATACGTGGCTTACCTTAAAGGGAAAAGTTTGTATTAGAGCCCAGGCTCTAAACAATCAAATTAAATCTTACATCAAAATTTTTATTAAAATAGGTTGTTTTTTATACCCAAACATCTTCAAATTGATCATCTCGACATTTAGATGCATGGACATGAGAAAAAAATGGATTTCAAGTTTTGGAAATAGTGTATTTTGTTAGGCATTTTTGGACCATCAATTTTCAAGATTTTCAAGTTTTTATAGATCTATTGATCTACAGTATTTTTTAAACTTTATAAATAAAAATAAAAATATATTTTAAAGCTATCACAAAAATTTCCAATATTGAAACCACATTTCTTGATACTATTTGAAGGTAGGCTCTAATTTAATTGTTTAGGGCCTACGGCCTATACAAACCGCACCCTACCTACTTGGTTGTGTGTTTATTTTCTTATTACGTATATATTGATAATCGTGGACCCCGCCCCAACCTCTTATGGGACCTCACGCTCTGACACCTTAAGTTTGTTGGTGTGTAGGTGTAGAGAGAGGGTGGGAGGAAGAGATTTTATCTTTAAAATTAAAAACAAGAAGAGAGAAAGAGAGCATTTTATCACGATATTATATATAATGAGACAATGTACCATTGGTACAAAGAAGCTACAATTATTTATAACGGTCCCATGTGAAATCTGATTGTTTGGGCATGTCATAAAGTTTGAAAAAATTTCTTTTCAACTTTGAGCTTACTCAATAAAATGAATGCAACCACCCAATTCTATATTCAATAGTCAATATTAATTATGACCACCTTGTATTAAAAGCAACTGATCTCATTATATACTTTCCTTTTTATTATTTGTGTATAGGTGTGCATGAGAGAGAGATAGCTTAATTTGGTTGAACTTTGATTTTGCACTTGAACAAGTGCTCCACTTCTATTATTGTTCTTTCACAAGCAAACTTCTTTGAAGTGTGTTGGAGCAGAGAAAGAGAGAGTCACTCTTTCATGGCTTTTCTTATTAATGAGGTAGATGGACATCCTTTTCTTGCAAGAAAGTTAATGATATGGAAGTATACAATGAGGCCATTATCTTTAGTATAAGGTGGTCACAATTAATTTTGATCATTGGATGTGAAATTTGGTGACTACATTTATTTCATCGATCAAACTCGTAGTTCAAATTTTTTTCTTGCGAACTTTATGAAACACTCAAGCTACATATTTCACATAAAAAAAAAAAAAAACTATTGATATTGCATAAGCCTTTAATATCTCTCTCTCAAGATAGAAAAATAGATCATTAATGTTCAAAAGAGAGAGAAAAAGTGTGTAGGAGTGTAGAGGGAGCATGTGCGTTTCCTATGAGGTTCATTGGCATGTTATCTTGCGAGAAAGAATTAGATATTGCACGAGTCAAAAATGGAGAGAGACAACATTCTTGCATGAATGGCTTTTTCTTATAATGTGACGTTTATAAGTGCTTTTCTTGAGAGACGATATTGATGTTGTGATGTGAGAGTTTGTAACTTTGTACATTATCATTGCATCTAGGGTTGCAATGGGCCCTTGAACATTAAAGCTTGGGTCGCATTAAACAAAAAAGTGACCCCCAAGGGCTTGGATGGGCATGGCCCAAGGCCGGACAGGCCAGCCCAGCCTGTTTTCTTTATTTTTTTAATTTTTCATTTAGTGGGGTAGGGCCAAGCCAGACCTGGGTCAAGGCCAGAGCCTCTTTAACCCTGTTAGGGCAAAGCAATGCGGACCAGGGCAGGTGCTTGCCCTAGACCCGCCCCGTTGCCAGCCCTATGTTGCATAAAATAATTTTTCACATAATTTCCGGTTTTACTGTTCTTCAACAGGTCAGAGAGGACGACGTGTTACCCGATGGGACCGAGCTGAAGAAGGGCACAAAAGTCATCTATGCCATCTACTCAATGGGGCGCATGGAAAGCATATGGGGAGAAGACTGCCTCAAATTCAAGCCCCAAAGGTGGCTCAGAGATGGCAAATTCACAAGTGAATCAGCCTACAAATTCACAGCTTTTAATGGAGGCCCAAGGCTTTGTTTGGGCAAAGATTTTGCTTATTATCAAATGAAATATGTGGCCTCTTCCATTCTGTATGAATACCATGTTAGGGTTTTGGAGGGCCACCAAGTTGAGCCCAAGCTTGCCCTAACCATGTACATGAAGCATGGTTTGAGGGTCACCTTGCAAAGGAGAAAGAATCCTGGCCGTCCAATTCAGATAAAAGAGAATGTGGCTCCTCCATAACTGGAAGCACACTGTAGAAATATGGGGTTCAGGGTTGTTCACTTTTGTTTTTAATTGTACGATTTTGGGCGATCTATTAGTGCTGGTGTTATAGGGATGTATATGATTGAAGTGGCTTGGATATAATGTATGAGGTTAGGTAATATGGAATAAAATTATTTTTCTCAAGTGTTGGATTTTCTTGAGAAATGGATCTCTTTCCTTGCAATAATGGAAAAAAAAAAATACATATTTCTTGTATGACTTCTTTTAAGGCTTGTTTGATTGCGGGAAGGCAAACGTTTCTTGAAAGCTAGAAGTTTCTCTTTTATGGGAAGTAGAATGTTCTCTTTATGAAATTGATATTTTACTGTTATTTTTTGTTGATATTCACGTGAATTATTGATGTTACCGTATCCATTATTTGAAATGTTTTTAACATATTGTATGTAGTACTTTGAATTCTCTTTTGCTAATTTTATAAAAATTATTTTTACCATAAATAATATATTTCTAATACATGAATATACTGATAATTATCTTATAATAACCCAATAAAAAAAAAATACAAATATGACAATGTCACAATAAGAATTGTGACTGATTATATACCAATAATTATAATTATCACTAATTTTGAGCCAAAAGCTTAAACAAGACATGCTTTCTTGGCTTGGGAATGATAGATAGGACCATTTAGGTTTCGAACTATTAGAATTTGTATTACTCATAAGTAAGTCCCATATGCACATCTTTAACAAAACAAATAACTCATACTTCAAACAGCCGCCATTCAAACAGATTTTAAATGGACGCATAACGCGCAACGGTTATGCATCCGTTAGCAAGTAAAGATTCTTTTGTGTTTTATCCCTAACGGATGCACGCAACAGTTTTCGTCTCAACCGTTGCTTATTGCAAGAAAACGGATGTGTGTTTGCACAATGGCTTTCGCGCTAACCATTGCTTCTCACAAGAAAACGGATGCACGTTAGCGCAACGGCTTTCGGGCCTAACCGTTGCTTCTTACTAAAAAAAACGAATGTACGTTAACGCAACAACTTTTATATAATTTTCTTTGTAAATTTTAAACTTTTAATGGAGGCGAGCCAAACTCGCATGCACGACAAGCAGTAGAATAAGGCTATTTTATTCCTACGGCTAAAAAGGATAACATCCAAACAGAGGCATTTGTACAATAGATGGAAATAAATTGCTCAACATTGTACTGGTATCTCATTGATAAAATATGTTTGTGATTGCTAGAAGGGTGCTAATGAACACAAGGCAGAAGACAACTAAGCTTAAATATTGGTAGCAATTAATGTTGATGAGAAATTGCATAAGAGTATTAGGTTTGGACACTAAATTTTAAGAACAACGCCATTTTTTTCATCCACCTATTTTAAGAGTTATACATACCCTTGTTGAGGATTGATGTCTTGTATTTCGAAGAAATAAATCTGTCAAAGTGGAGTCAAAGGGACGACTCTAGAAGGCCGTTAAAAGCCCAAAATAGATCCATACATAGGGTACTTTGATAATTTGTATCTTCTACATGGGACTTTGTATATTATTGTGATGGGGTTCTTTTAGGGTTAAGGAAAAATAGAGATTTCTTTATAATACGATAGCAAAGAGATGCGTGAGGAAGAGAGTCAATGTAACCCTATTTTTCATTGCCAGTAAAGAAGCTCTCATCTCCCCGTGGACGTAGGCATGTTGGCGAACGACATATATCTTTGCGTTGTAGTTGGTTGTCTCTTTCGTTTGTGTTTGTTTCTTTTTTCTTGTTTTCGTTGATTATTTTTCGTTTCAACAAATTGGTATCGGAGCCTACCAGGTTATTCCACTTTTTAGGGTTTTCTACCACGATAGCAAGAAAGGGATCAAGCGTCAAGTATGACATTGAGAAGTTTAATAGAAAGAACAACTTCACTCTTTGACGACGAATGATGAAAAATCCTTTGATACAACAAGGTCTAGATAAAGCTTTGCCAGGGATATCGAAGAAATCAACAAAGATAGATGCTGAAGAGTGGCAAGAGATTGAGGAAATGGCGGTAAGTGTGATTCATTTAAATCTATCAGATGATGCCTTGTATTATGTGGTGGCCCTAAAAACTGCTCCGGAGGTTTGGACAAACCTCGAGAGTATTTACATGACGAAATCTTTGAAGAACAAGTAGTTCTTGAAGAAGCAGTTGTATTCTCTTCAGGAGGAAGAAGACACAGATCTGCTTGAACATCTCACCGAGTTCAAACGGATCATAAGCCAGTTAACAAGCCTTGAGATCGAAATCGAAGATGAAGACAAAGCCCTACTTTTGTTGGCTTCGCTTCCAAGATCATACAATCACTTGGTTACGACTCTACTGTACAGGAAGGAGACTCTTGAGACAGACGAAGTCACTGCTACTCTTTTGTCAAACAAGACAATGAAGAAGACTCGCAGTATTAAATCTCAAGGAGAAAGTTTATTTGGAAAACGCAAAGAGAGTCATGAAAGGGGCACATCAAATCAAAAGAGGTCTGGAAGCAGAAGTCGGTTAAAATCAAAGGGGAATGACAAGTTTACTTGTTATTACTGCAAAAATGTCATATGAAGAGAGACTGCACGAAAACAAATGAGGATATAAAGATGAAAAAAACAAGAAAAGCATATGATGAAGCTAACATGTACTAGGGAAATCTCCTGTTTCGAAAATGCTCTGAGTGATGCACAGAGTGATAAATGGATGACAGCCATGATAGAGGAGAAGGAGTCTCTGCAAAAGAACAAGACTTGGGAGCTTGTCGAGAGGCTCAAGGGAAGGAAAGTGATTGGGTGCAAGTGAATCTTTTAGAAGAAAGACACATCAACAGAAAAGGAATGTGAGAGGTTCAAAGCTGGGCTTGTAGCAAAGGGCTACGCTCAGAAAGAGATAGTAGACTACAATGAAATATTCTCTCTGATTGTCAAGCACACTTCAATAAGGGTATTAGTTGCTTTAATAGTCATGTTTGATTTGGAGCTAGAATAACTTGATGTGAAGACAATGTTTCTTCATGGTGATCTGGAGGAACAAATCTTTATGAAGCGACCTGAAGGCTTCAAGGTGCATAAAAAAGGATATCAAATTTGCTTGCTCAAGAGATTGCTTTAATGTTTTAAATAATCTCTCAAGCAGTAGCACAAGCGCTTCGACTCTTTCAAGGTGCAGATGGGCTATTCAAGAAGCGAGTATGATTGTTATATTTATTTTAAAGTTCTTGATGATAATTCCTTCATTCTCTTGATGTTTTATGTTGATGATATGCTCATCGCTGCCAAGAATGCATATGACATAACATCTCTCAAGTTTATGTTAAGTTCTGAGTGTGATATGAAGGATCTAGGGGCTGCTAATAGGATCCTTGGTATGGATATTCATACAGATAGAAGTGCAGGTAAACTCTAGGTAACTCAGAAAAAGTATGTTGAAAAAGCGCTGGAGCATTTCAACATAGAAAATATCAGGCCAGTCAGCACTCCATTGGCGAGTCATTTCAAGTTATCTGAACGTTAGTGTCCCCCTGCGGATGAGGAGATAAAGCAGATGTCTCTGGTGCAATATGTTAGCACAATTGGAAGCCTCATGTATGCTATGGTTTGTAGCAGGTCGGATTTATCTCATGCTATCAGTATTGTTAGTCGATACATGAGTAATCCTCGTAGGGAGCATTGGAATGCAATTAAGTGGATTTTCAAATATCTGAGCGGGATGTCAAACCTCGAAATTATGTTCAGTAGGAATAGAAACTCTACAGAACTAGTGGAATATATCGATTTCGACTATACTGGTGATTTAGACAAGCAGAGATGTACTACAGGGTATGCATTCACACTAGCGGGTGGACCTATTTTATGGAAGGCAATACTTCAATCCACAGTTGCCTTGTCTACGACAAAGACAAAGTACATGACAGCAGCTGAAGCTGCAAAGGAGGCGATATGGTTGAATGGTTTGGTTCATGAGTTAGGGTTGGAGCCAGAAGGTACTGTGCTGCATTGTGATAGTCAAAGTGCCATAAATCTTGCAAAGAATCAAGTGTTTCATGTAAAGAAAAAGCACATTGATGTAAAGTTGCACAAGATCAAGGAGCTTGTGTTAGAAGAAATCATTCACTTGAAGAAAATTCATACAAATGATAACCCTGCAAATATACTTATAAAGCCTATCACTAAAGAGAAGTTCAAGCTTTGCTTGGACTTGTTTAATGTCACTCATTGTTGAAAGTGAGAAAAGTACCCCATGACAGGTGAGAGTGCAGTCGCTTACCTTTATAGAGGTACAGAGATAAAGACATCTTCAGACTGGCTCGACACAATTCAAGCCAAGGTAGAGATTGTTGAGGATTGATGTCTTGCATTCTAAAGAAATAGATCTGTCAAGGTGGAGTCAAAGGGACGACTCCGGAGAGCTGTTAAAAGCTCGAAATAGATCCGTACATTGGGTATTTTGGTAACTTATACCATCTGCCTGGGACTATATATATTGTTGCAATGGGGGTTCTTTTAAGGATAAGGAAAAACAGAAATTTCTTTGTAGTACAAAAGCAAAGAGAGGCGTGAGGAAGAGAGTTATTGTAACCCTATTCTCCATTGCCAGTAAAGAAGCTATCATCTTCACGTGGACGTAGACAGGTTGCCGAACCACGTATATCTTTACGTTGTGGTTGGTTGTCTCTTTCTTTTGTATTTGTTTCTTTTTTCTTGTTTTGTGAATTGTTTTTCATTTCAACAACCCTAACTTACTCTCATTGAGAAGCTTAATTTTATAGGAAAAATATATATTAAGATCATTTATGTTTAATACAAACAGATAACAATCATTTTTTGCTGTTAAATTTGAAATCACGTTATTGGAGATGTAGCATTGACCATGCCCAAAAAAAAAAAAAAAAAAAAAAAAAGACTTTCTCATGCTTCTCCAAGCTTGTCGAATTTCATATATAACGGCTAGATAAGATTATGACGTTTTTATACTGAATATAAATGATCGTATAGTATACAATCCCAATTTTATAACCCTACTCTATGACTAGAAAAAACTATATTCCCCTTATTCCCCAAAATAAATACAAATGTTCAAGGTTGCCCAACAAAGTGAGCAGACATACTTTGATATTATTGTTAGCATCCAAACCGGGCATTACAAATTTCACAAAACAAGAGTATTGGCTATTATTGCTTAGATACATAATAAGTTCTGTAGCATTCCCTTCAACAAGGTAAATACAGAATCGGTAACAAAAAATAATACATACCCTCCCTATGTTTCTCTTGATCAAGCTTTGCCATCCCATTCTTCATAAAACTCTGATAAGAAGTCCTGCATGAACTTGTGCCTTTTTTCTGCCATTCTACGTCCGGCCTGATAAAATTACAAATTGCATCAATAAATATAAGAGAGTGAACTAAAATAACAAAACATGAACCAGGACTAAATAATTAAGCTTTTGGCGGACATAAAATAAGTCAAATTTTGTAAACATCAATACGAAAATAAATGTTTAGCATGCATCACCACTGGGACAGGAGAATGAGATGCAAAATTTGGGATAGTAAACCCAAGTTGCTCTCTTTATTTGCCCTCTTCGTATCCACCTAAAGCTCTTAAGGAATCCATCTCCCTCTTAGGTCCTTCACTTCTCTTTGTAGTGGTAACTCTCTCAAACCAGTCCTTTATCTTATGCAGTTCCCACAACATAAAATAATTTCAAAGGAACTAAAATAGCAAAAGGGAATGGTTCTTGAAAGAGAACACAAGCATGATAAAACCACCACACAAAATATCTTAGTTCAGATCACCGGTCAAAGATATTACATGCTTGCACTCTTTTAACTGTCTAAAATTTTTCCCTTGCATTCAATTACCAAATGATAAAAGTATCCATCAGTACAACATTTGAAATCTTTCTTTAAACAGCTTTTGAATCACCAAAAGTATGTCGAGTGTGCAGAAAAAAAACCTCATGCATCAAGTGCAATTTATGTTATTTCAGAAGCACCATAAACTAAAAGTATTGAATCCTAACTATAATGCCTCATTTCTATACTCCCACACACCCTGAAAGTTCATTAAGAGTTACTCTCTATCATTGCTTTTGGACTTGGCCGAGTAGACTCGGACTCGGCCAAGTTACTCGGCATCGGCCTATGGGCGAGGCCAAGTACTATGTTCCGATTTTATATGTATATTATATATGCCAAACCATATTCACACAGTCGAGATGCTCTTTTGGCTATTATGCATGCTCGGCAGTCCCATGTCCCAATATTGAATAGAAAACTGGATGTTTCTTATATTATTAAAAATAATAATAATAAGCCCCATCGTGCAACGGGCAGGAAATGATACAGAACCTATTGAAGATGCCCCATATCCATTCACCAGTGTGCTACTTGACTGTTACTGATATAGATAAGTATCGCATTGTATATATAAATTATTAGATTTTGTTATTTCTTTTTTTAAACGTGACATGAACTCGGCCGATTTACTCGAACTTGATCGAATAACTCGCCTCAGCCAACGTCCGAGTACCTATCTTTTGAACACTGCTCTCTACTTTAAGGTAGTTTCATGTTTTACCTCTGTTTTCATTAGGTCCTTGAGCTTCAGAAGTTTCTCATGGAAATGATTCAGAGTAGTCTGCTTCTCATCTTTCTTCATATACTCTTGCTTTGAGAGTTCCAACCGAGGTTTGATTTCGGGATCATGCAGCACATTGTTCCGATTTCCACCAAATGTGAAGCAGCGAGCAATTCCTGAGTTTATCGAACAAAAGTATCAGATTTACTTCAAATATATTAAATTAGAAAATTCTCAGAAAGAAATCCCCCCACCAGAAAAAACTACACCAAAATGACTAGTGAGGTTATCAAAGATAAACTCCATGGTATCCACTAGGAGCACCAAATTTGCCAAGATGCACTGGATTCAAATAGTTTGAGAATTGTACCAGTAATTAATTTCATATAAATGGTTCTTCATTTTTCTTCTTTTTATTGTAAGACGAGCAAAATGCCCATGCATGAAGAAGTCTAAGAAGCACACTTGAAGTTGATTTGATATTTGAATCACATAAGTTGGCTGTGAATGACATAGCTCAGGGAGGCCGCAAAAAGAAAATAGATTCAAAAAGTTCTATAAGTAAAGAACTTCAGTAAAAGACTGTAAAAAAGCTGACAAGAAAAGCATTAAACAATCAATAAATTTTCGGTGAGTTCACCAACTCATTCATCCGCCACAGTTTTTAAGGGATTTAGGACCTGAAACACGTCCTAAATCACTGCAATCATTTCCACTACAGATCCATGAATTTGGAGCTCTAAAAATAGTGTTGGCCTGATGATCTTTGAAGAATTAAGACAAATGGCCCCAAAATAAAGGATACCAGATGAACCACTTTTAAGGCTCAAAATTTTCCTTTTTTTTTTTTTTTTTTTCTTGATTCATGATCATAATGGTCAAGATCATAGACCTATGAAGATTTGGATCCTCAATCCTTCTCCAAGATGGACTTTGGAAGGTGGACGTACTAGAATAGGTGCATTTGGGATTATCCCTATAAGTACATGACTACTATGACATACTCAGAAAACATGTCATGAACTAAAAACAGCCTTTATGTTTCAAACAGATGTCTATGATAACACAGGAGAATGATATAGAACGCGTACCAATGGCCCCAATTGCATCCAAGCGATCAGCATCTTGCACCACCCCAAACTCTGGAAGACTTTTATTACATGAAACTCCAGAAATCTCGTTCTTAAAACCTGAAAGAACATGAGTTGGTACCTAATAAAATTGGCAAGGTTTTCCCATTTCATTCTTTAACATGCACTTATTTATCATCGAGCTACATTTGATAACATTGTCGCTTGCCTTTGATGATAAAAATTTAAAAAGAAGTAAAATAAAATAAAATGCCCAAATACTCAGACTTAGATTCATAATCATCACAACTCATACTCTTTTCCGATAATTGTACCCAGCGTGTATTTAGACTAATTAACAAAGAAGTCTAAAAATTGTTTAGCAAACTTAATAAAAGATTAAGCCTTGACTGCTTTCTTAAGGGAGAAGATCAAATTCAAAACAATTTTAATGAGGAAGTGTTATTAGTGAAAGGCATATGCACAATGTCAATAATACAATAGAAAATACAAATTTTCCAAAGCAAACCAAGAAAACACAGCTCTGGTGTCTTTAAACAATTAGTTTCAACAAAACACCCATCACCTTGACTTCACGCAAAATTCAGTCCCCGAAATTATTCACCTCCTGAGATGTTTCATAGTTTCAAACATTGGAAGTCACAAACATTGAAATTGATGGCTATTTTTCCCAGATAGGTCAAACTGTTTGCTGTTAAAGTGTGAATTTATGCAAAATAGTGGACAATGGGATAGCTTAACTGGTCGGGATTGAATTATTTGACTCTTCTAAAAACTGGAACTTGATCATAAAAGTAAATAACATTTGATTTAGCTGAGATTTAGGGCATTGCTAAATAGATTAGTTTTGTTCAAAGTGAGGCAGGCCATGAAGGGAAACTAAGATAATACGAGCTTTCTATAAGTCCCCATATGATAAGATATATGTATCTAGAAGCCAATGTCCCATTGGATCTATTTTATCAAATGGTTAGAAGTGAACCGACAACAATGTTACATACTAATTATAGCGGGAAGAGAATAACTACACTAGTTTGAAACATCATAGACAACTCACTACCAACCATCCAATCAAAGAATGGACAGATGTTGGTCCCAAAGGCACAACAAGAAAACAATTTCTTTGAAGTTGCATCTTTGATACTACACTAGGAGTGTAGGAGGTGTATCTTTATTCAGATACTTTGCTAGTAGGTAAGCATCTTCTTAAACCTTATATCACAGAACCAGCTCACTCATTGATGTTCATTGACCAGAATTTAGGAGCGCTTGGTCCTTCGTTCATTAGGGCTGTACTCACTAATTATATATTATCATAGAAGAGTCTCTCTCTCTCTCTCTCTCTCTC